GATGTCTCCTCAACAGTCTTGTAACAAGCTTGTTAACAAGTTGTGACAATGCTGTTCCAACAACTTGTCAACAAGACGTCTCCTCAACAGTCTTGTAGCAAGCTTGTTAACAAGTTGTGACAATGCTGTTCCAACAACTTGTCAACAAGATGTGTTTGCAACAGGCTTGTAACAAGCTCATTAACAAATTGTGGCAATGCTGTTCCAACAACTTGTCAACAAGATGTCTCCTCAACAGGCTTGTGGCAATGCTGTTCCAACAACTTGTCAACAAGATGTCTCCTCAACAGGCTTGTAGCAAGCTTGTTAACAAGTTGTGACAATGCTGTTCCAACAACTTGTCAACAAGATGTCTCCTCAACAGGCTTGTAGCAAGCTTGTTAACAAGTTGTGACAATGCTGTTCCAACAACAACTGTTTCACGGTTTCATTGTCTCCAAGCACTGTGAGGTGCAGAAAAAAAGAATATGCAGGCAGGTTAACCAAACACTGAATTTAAGACCCAAAGTTATTGTGAGTGATTTGGACTTAAATGCCAACAGCTTTTTATACTATATACATGCTATTGCACATATAATTTTAAATATGTGTGAAAGTTACAATAAATGTTATTTCAAGACGTTGTTTCAAATAATTGAAATGTCTGTGAATTGTCCCGTCTGCCTAATGTCTTGTCGGCTGAATGTCCTGTCCGCTAAATGTCTTGTTGGCCAAATGTCTTGTTGGCTAAATGTCTGTCGGTGAAAGGTCCTGTCGGTCAAATGTCTGTCGGTACTAGACCGGCCAGATGTCTGTTGGCCAAACGTCCTTGCACGTTGTCACAACTTGTTAACAAGCTTGCTACAAACCTATTGCAAACACATCTTGTTGACAAGTTGTTGGAACCTAGCATTGTCACAACTTGTTAACAAGCTTGGTACAAGCCTGTTGCAAAAAGTCTTGTTGACAAGTTGTTGGAGCAGTGTTGTCACAACTTGTTAACAAGCTTGCTGCAAACCTATTGCAAACACATCTTCTTAACAGGTTGTTGGAACAGCATAATTGTCACAACTTGTTAACAAGCTTGCTACAAAGCTATTGCAAACAGATCTTGTTGACAAGTTGTTGGAACATCACTGTCACAACTTGCCAACAAGCTTGCTACAAACCTATTAGAAATGGTGCGCCAGGGCAAGTTGGACATGAAAATTGGTTGCCCTGAATAAAATTAACTTGCCATCAGTAGGGGGTATAAATTAAGGGGACAACATCTGTGATTTTTCTGAGGGGTATAAAGGGGAAAATTTACAAATTTCTGAGGGGGTTTTGCGTCGGCACTTTGATATTTTTTTCTTAGGGGTTAAAATTTTACTGACCTCATCCATAGAAAGGGGGGGGGGGGATGGTGGATATTAAATGGAATGGACCATGTCATATCTTCACACACAATTAATGGCCATGTTTACACTGTACCCAGATGGCTTTATAAATACCGAAGTGATTTGAAAAAAACACCTATCCATACCTTTTAGGAACGCTATTTTCAGAGGAATTATTGCAACGGAGAGATGTTGTTTCGCTCAGCTTCTGAAGTTGTACATTGCGTGTCGGATAAGAGCTTTATTTAATTTGCATACATCAGCACTTTATACATTTCAACTAAATAGCATTATCTAACTTAGTATTACAGTATCTACGATATAGAAACAAAATCATCCAGGTTTCATTTCAAGAAAGTCCTGGATTTTAAACAATAACAGTCCATATATATATTAAACATGTATATGAATATGATTTATTAAAATTTCTCATACCTGGCGAGCCACTTTCTAGCCTGTCTTCCCCTCGCTCAGAACGACTTCCACTCGCAAAACACAAGCCCTGTGCGCGGAATCCAAAGTCATCTTTAAAATACTCATCGAAAAGCAAGTCAAATTGTTGTTCGGCCTCTTCGATACTTATCGCCTTTCTTCGAGGTATTACAACGCTAGCCATTTTATTGTATGTCGACAAAATAGTCTGTCAATTGAACGGTTTGAGCATTAAAAAAATTTCGTCCTGTGTGGGAGTTAAAACAGACTTCGACACAAAGAAACAACGAACGTGGGTGGTTTTACAACTTCTGGGAAGAATAAAGATTCATCCTTCCTGTCGCAACCAACTCGAGTTTCCTTAGAATTTGTAAACAAAATTTTGGCAATTTGGCAATCGACACATGCGTGGCATCACGCGTGGAAAGGGGATTCTTTCGTGGTGCACACGCGTGGAAATTACGTGTTTCATGCGTGGATTTAACGCGTGGAAAGGGGGGAATGAAAAATTGCAATTCTATGTCTTACCCCCTTAGGTGCAGGGACGTCAATACTGGGGGAGGACTGGGGGGGGGGGGG